CCAGCTCTTCACCGCTCCCCAGGACCAGTCTGCCAGCTCCCAGGAGCCTGCCAGGGCCCGGAGAAGGCAGGCACCTTCCTGGTCCAGGGTGGAGATCATGGACCTTATTCAGGTTGGGGGGGTGTCCCCAATGTTCATGATCTCCCCACTAGACGGAGGAATGCGGCCTTTGGCAGGATAGCTGCCAGCCTGGCCACCAAAGGCCACATGTGAACACAGGAGCAGGAGTCTGCCAGCTCCCAGGAGCCTGCCAGGGCCCGGAGAAGGCAGGCACCTTCCTGGTCCAGGGTGGAGATCATGGACCTTATTCAGGTTGGGGGGGTGTCCCCAATGTTCATGATCTCCCCACTAGACGGAGGAATGCGGCCTTTGGCAGGATAGCTGCCAGCCTGGCCACCAAAGGCCACATGTGAACACAGGAGCAGGTTTTCATGAAAATCAAGTTGGTCCAGCGAGACCCCCCCACACAGCCCTGAGCTTCCCCTCCCCTTCTTCACCTTGCTACCCCCTTCCAGCCACCTCTTCCCAGGTTTCCCCTTCCCTCTCCCACCCTCTCTTCTCCTCTTTCATGCCTCCTTTCCCCAGTCTCACCAGAGTTTCATTCCCTCCCTCCCCCCCCAGTTTTGTTAAATAAAGACAGTTTGTGTTCATGAAAATACGTATATTTTATTTTACATGAGGAAGGGGGGTTAGGGAGGGGTAAGGGGAAGGACGTGAGGGAGGAATGAGGCACAAGCCCCCAGTGGGGCAGACCAGGGAGACTGTTAGTGCTCCTCAGGATGAAGTTGTCCTGCAGGGCCTCCTGGATACTGACAGCCCCCCCAATGGACCTCCCGGATGGCAGCCTGCAGAAAGTGCAGCCAGGCTCGCAGCAACGTGTCCACGAGAAGCACCAGAGTGCCCAGGGGCAGCTCTGGCTCCATGTTGCAGAGTGCTGTGGTGTCCCGAGTGAGGGCAACCAGAGCACGCAGAGACAAAATGCTTTGCTGTCCCTCATTGAGGTAGGCAAGCAAGCAGGGAAAGCTGAGAACTGGCTGTCCAGGGGAAGCGGGATCCCTTTATGCACAGGCCTCAGCCCCATGCAGTAAGTCCTGACCTGGAGCCCTGCTGGACCTGGTTCCGTCCGGCCTTAAATGTGATTCAGAGTCCACTCAGTGTGGATGCACTATTTCGAAAAAACAAAATGCTATTTTGAAATGCATTTTGTGTGTAGACACGTTATTTCGAAATAAGCTATTTCAAATGAACTATTTCTAAATAAGATATTTCGAAATAATGTTGTAGTGTAGACATACCCTTCGGCTGCGTCTAGGCTGGCATGATTTTGCAGAAATACTTTTAACAGAAAAGTTTTTCCATCAAAAATAGTTCCGCAAAAGAGTATCTAGATTGGCATGGATGCTTTTGCGCAAAAAGTGCTTTGGCGCAAAAGCATCCGTGCCCAGTATAGACGCACTTTTGCGCAAGAAAGCTCTGATGGCCATTTTAGCCATCGGGCTTTCTGGCACAAAAAATTAAGGTGCCTGTCTACACTGGCCCTCTTGCGCAAGTATTCTTGCGCAAGAGGGCTTATCCCTGAGCAGGAGCGTCAGAGTATTTGCACAAGAAGCACTGAATTCTT